TTATTCGACTTTTTTCACGAGAACTACGGGCGAACAGTACGGCGAATCGGATGGTTCGATCACTCCAAGTTCTTTCATTCTCTGTACTTCTGCCTCAAATGGTTTAATCAAATGGTGAGGAATCGCGTAAGGCTTGCGGTGTACGGGTTCGGTGGTAGTTAATTTGATATCGTGCGTTACCGAGCTAGTTAGTCCAGGGTTATCTGAAAATACATCTGGGTATTTATCAAGTAGGTTCCTTAGCTCTTTTATTTGATCAGGTTTTAGATCTGCACCGATATTAAAGTTAGTTACCGTATTGCTCATTACAGAGACATCGCACGTGTCATCACTAGCAATATCATCATCTACTACACATATCTGGCAAACATTAGGCGTTTCAATGTCCTCCCTTTTAATGAACTTTTTCATCATGTTAATATGGTAAAGTTTGGCTTTACCCTTTACTTTAATTAAGTAATCTACTCCGTTATCGTGACGTTTAATAACGGTGTATGGGCCTTTCCACTGCATAGTGAGCTTGTTATGCATTGAAGGAAGCAAAACGAGCACTTCGTCGCCAACAGCGAGCGAGCGCGCTTTAGCGCCGCGATCGAAGTAGGCTTTATACAGATTACTATTGATCTTAGCATGAGATGAGGCTAACTGAGCAGATTCCTCTAATTCAGTTCGAAGATCTAACACATACTGATAGGTGTTCTTTACATTACTGTCCAGATTATCGTTGGTCCACAGTTCATACAAAATTGTAAGTGGTCTTCGAACCCTACGGCCATACAACAATTCAAAAGGAGAAAACTTTAAAGTGTCATTAGGAATCTCACGGTAGGCAAATAGCACCGAGGGAATGTATCGGTCCCAATCTTTTGGTTGTTCCATACATAGTTTCCTTAACATGGATTTCAAAACTGCATGAAACCGCTCTACTGTGCCATTGCAACACGCGTGATACGGGCTCGTATAGAGAGCCTTTACACACAAAAGTCTATTTATCTCGTTCATAAGGTCGGACTTGAACTGTGTGCCGCGGTCTGACAAGATTTCTTTAGGAATACCGACACGCGAAAATATATCAATTAGGTTTTCAGCGACAGTTACCGTATCGATACTGCGTAGAGGAACAGCTTCAGGAAAACGAGTAGCGCAGTCTATTAGAGTTAAGATATACCGATGGCCTCTTTCTGAAGGTGATAACGGGCCTACGAGATCTATGGCAACGCGAGAAAACGGTTCATTTATCACGGGCATGGACACCAATGGTACTTTCTTGACTTTGCCTTTAGGGGAAGATCTTTGACACGTTGGACACGAACGACAAAAGCGCTTTATATCGGCACCCGCGCCTGGCCAAAAGAATTTGTAAAATATCTCCTCAGATGTTTTACGATGCGAAAAATGTCCTGCAACAGGGGAATCGTGTGCCGTTGATAAGATGATATATCTAAACTTACGAGGGACAACTAATTGCTTCATACCAATCTCATTTTCTTTTTTACTTTGAAGACAAATTCTATAAATGAGATCGTTAACTTTTTCATACTTTACTGTTCTATGTTTGACATTGACTATACTCCCTCTCTCTACTTTTGATCTTATGTCATTTAGAGTTACGCATTTGCCTTGTTCTTCCATCAGCTCTTGTTTTGTGATATCTTTGATTATAAATTCTGGTACATTTAAGGCACGAGGTTCAGCAAGGTCAGCCATTTTACCTCTTCGAGTCTGAACTTTCATGACTAAGTCATCGGCACTTGCAATTTCATGGTTATCAATCGCTGAAGTTTTACCATTATTAGTCTTGCCCGTTAAATCTAGTGCTGGCATCTTGACCCCGGGTACCATTCCGATTAACATGTCGGTGAATTTGATGGGTGCCGCAACGGCATTCACCCATCCAGTCAAAAAGCGACTCTTTATAAAGCACCGTATTTCGGGAAAAGTCTTGCCGACACCAAGGTAATCGTATAGTGTAATGGTCTTTCGTCGTTTTACATACAGGGGAATCAGCGAATCTTTTACTATAATAGTTGAACATCCCGAATCAAAGAGAGCATTAACAGGTTTGTTAAATAAAATCGCATCATCGGTAACACTGTTCTGCGGAGTAAGATCCGATTCAAAAACGAAGTTAACCTTAGATGACCCCGACCGCGATCTTTTTAATTCAGGACAATTAGGTCGAATGTGCCCCGTAGCTTTGCAGTTGTGACACACCACGTCGGACTTAACGTCGCGCTTTTCGCTCGTTTCTTCTCTCGCAGAGAAGGTCTTCCGCGGTTTAATATTGCGATGCGCAGCTCTGAATCTATCGGCAGCTTGTGCCATATCAAGAGTGTTGTCAAATAATCGCTCTTTTAAAAATATCCGCAAATCTAAAGAGCAGTTGCTCAGCAATTGGTCTCTAACAAGGAAGTCACAAAGGTCGTTGAAATCCTCCCTCACTTCACTAAGACTTATCCAATTTCTTAGGTACTGTTCCATTCTAGTAACTAGTTGAACA